ATGTCAGAGCAGTGTGTACAGTGGGAATACATTTGTGTAAAAACACAAGCACAACAAATCTCATGTATAAATTTACATGTATTTATCTCAGCATATTATCAGAATGTAAGGTGTAAAATGATACATACTGGGTGTTACCATTGGTTATTCAGTAGTGTGGGGGTAGAAATGGAGAAGGGAGACTCTGTAATTCCCCCTGTATAAAACGCATCCTTTTTCAAAAAATTTGGGGTCTAATAATTGGGTGCGTCTTATACAGTGGTTGTAGAATTTTTTACTTGGATTTCCCACTTTTTTCACTCTTGTTTTTGTGCTCATACAACCACCGTTTAAGATGCACCCAGTTTTTAGGCCACAAATTTTTCAAAAAACGGTACACCTTATACATGGGGAAATACAGTATATCTTTATATCATGTCAGTAGTTTCAGTGAACATGAAAAAGTATAAAAGAGGCAGAGCATTTTCTCAATCCGTTGAGACTTTGCTTCCCGGCAATTGTCGTCAGTTTGGCTCAAATAAAGTCTTATAAGCTTTCCAAAAAAAAAAAAAAGTATAAAAGAGGAAAGAAAAAGGCAATACCATATGACAACACAAGACATTCTAGGAGGAAGTCAGCTTTTCAATTTGGGGGACTCGGGAAGTCTTCATGAAAGAGGTGGCATGTAAACTGGGTCTTCAAGGAGGGAGAGGTTTGTTGAGAACCTGCAGGGGATTCTTCCCAGCACAGGGGTCAGCTGTGCTGAGCAAAGGAGGGAAATGGAAGCAAAATGACCATGTGCTGAGCACCTGCATTGAACGCAGACACTTGTACCAACCCTTCCAAGTAGTTAGACTTACTCTACAAATGAGGGAAATGAAGCTCAGAGAAGTTAAGGGAATGGCTAAAAGCCTACACAGCTGGTAACTGGCAGAGCCAAGCTTAGACTCCATATCTTTCTCACTCCAAAATTCTCTGTCTGTGACTATGAAGAATTGTTTTGTATCAGCTATGGTTGGAATGTTTGTGTCCCGCTAAAATTCATACATTGAAACCTAATGCCCAATATGATGGTTATTAGGAGGTGGGGCCTTTGGGAGGTCATGAGGATGGAGCCCTCATGAATGGAACTAATGCTCTTATATAATAGACCCTGGAGAGCTCCCTAGCTCCTTCCTTTCATCCTATGAGGACACAGTAAGAAGATGGCCATCTATGAACCAGGAAGTGGACGCTCACCAGACATCAAATCTACCAACCCCATGATCTTGGACTTCCAGCCTTCAGAGTTGTGAAAAAGAAGTGTTTGTTGTTTAGAAGCTACCTGGTTTATAATATTTCTGTTATAGCAGCCTGAAGGGACTAAGACACTGGAAAAGTATGTACCTTGAACATTGTGACTCTGCAAATGAAACTGAATGTTGGGGAGGCAGCTGTGATCTCCTCAAGGCAGGCTTCCCTGCCTGCTGTGTCTGGGCTGGGGAGCCTCCCTCAGGCTCTGTACAGCCTTCATCCCCACTTCCCCTTGCATCGTCTGACTCCCCCCAGTGGGCTGATCAGCTGCATGGGTCAGGATGATTCCACAGGAAGGCTGAGTTCTGAAGGGTCATCATCCTATAAAAAGGGGGACACTTGGAGAGATAGTGCACAGTTCCAAGAAGCCTGGGCTTTTAGCCCCATTTCCTATTTCTCCCCAGCTCCAGCTGCCCTGAAATGCAACCTGCACTCCCATGCTGTCCTGCCTTTCTTTATGCTGTTCCTTCGGCTCAGAATACCTTTCCCTACCAGCTCATTGTCTCTGGAAAACTCCTACATAGCTTTCAAAACCCAACTCAAATGATCTTCCTCTTCTTTTCATATCCATTAGGACATTTGACCCTCACCATTCAAAATAGAAATTATCATCTCCACTTTATGTCTGAGGACCCTGAGGCACCCAGAGATGAAGCGGCTCTTTCAGAGTCCTTCAGCACCAGGAAAGAAGAGACCAAGATTCTACTACAGTTCTGGCTCTGCCGTTTGTATGTCACCTTGGGCAAGTCCCTGCCCCTCTCAGGGCCCCTGGTTTCCACCTATAACATGGTGGCGGTTGGGATGTTTTCTCAGATGGTCTCTGCAGTCCTGTGTTGCTGGATGCTATGGCAACAAAAGAATTCAGACAGCGCCTTGGTGTTGCCTGTGACTGCATCTTGTTTCCCTTTGGCCTGACTCCAAGAGCAAGCGCTGCTTCCCGCTGCCCCCCTCCTACTCACCCCATTCTTTGTTCTTCTTCCTGAGACAAAGCCTCCAGCCCCTCTCCTCCCCAGGCAGCTGGGCTTTGGGCCAGCCAGCCAAGTGGCAGCTGGGACTCAGATGAAAGGGCCCTCAGAGGGCTGCCTGTGGCTGAGTGCCCAGCCAAGCCCAGCCCAGGCCTGGCAGCCCTGGGCCCAGCTGTCTCACAAGGCATCCTGCCACCACTCCCACACAAGGCTCTCTTTGTGAGTCCCACAGCAAGGGGGACCCCAGCCAACCCACAAGGACCCTCTCCCCTTCCCTCTGCTCTACACCCACTTGAGAAGTATCCAGGTCTTTAGTGAATGGTCCAGGGCTGGAGCAGACTGGCCTGACATTGGGCCTGCACTTTGGAGAGCTCTGTTCCGTTTAATCTTCAGAACAACACAGGTAGCAGGTAGCACAATTCCCCTTTAGACACAGAT